TCTTTGTGCTTTGTAGGGCTGTCCCGAATACCATTTTTCGGGCTCCGGGTATTCGGCCCGCGCGGGGGGAGGGTGCGCAGTAATCAGCAGCGAACCGCTTCAACACGTGTCTTTTCGGTTTATTCACGGCATTCATTTTGTTATTCTACAGTATTGTTGTTCTATAGTTATTTGTTAATGTATACAACCCAATTTGTGTTCTTTGAAATTGAAAAGGATATTGCATTGTGTTTGTTACTTTCGTCGCAGCTGTATGTCTTAAGTGTAATTTGGCTTGGCTTCCTATTTTGTATGGACATGCTTTTATTTTGAAGGAGAGTTAGCGCTGTTGACAGGGAGTTGTTGTTGCTATGGAAACAACGTGACGGAGATTAACGGCGAAAAAGTTATATCTACATATAAAGATTGATAAAGTAAACGATAAAGTGTATGGTTAAGTGTTAGCACCCCCCGAAGAGGCACAAGCTCTTACGTTGATATTGGAGTTTTCAATAAATAAATAAAAATAAAAAAACGAATATCCGAAGAACGAAATTGAAACCCAAATAGTACTCCAACGAACAAATATATGGATATTCGGGTACAGCCCTAGTAGATTGAGAGCAATCCGACACATAGTTGGAGGGATGCACACACGTCTGGGGAAAAGAGAACTTGGTTGTGATTGAAATTATCAGAGAAAGAGGAAACATCAAGCTGAGAAAGAGGAAGAGCGTGGCAAGCTGACACTAACGAGTGTGGCAGAAAAAGCTGAGAGCACCACACACATTAAGACGAAAAACAGAGGTGCAATCAGGGAACACTCATAACACGCTCATTAGCTTACGTAAATAATTAAGTGCTGCTAATCGCTTCTTCAGAGTATTATGAGGTCCCTCCATTTTCTTTTAGTGTGACTCACCTTACCTGCTGCCTCACTTTAGTCCATTATAGACACCGTTCAACTTCATTACGCGCCACCGTTGTTAAAACCGTTCTCCAGCTCTGTGCAGTAATGGGCTGATCTTTCATTTCTTCATCTGAGCCGAGAAAACACTCTAGAGTAAATGTCTCTTAGCTTTGCCTGATAATTGAGAGGATTCAAGTGACTCAAATCTTGATATGCCACAAAAGTGTATATAGCACTGTAGCAAAGACAGAGGTTTCCTCACCTGCCACTGCAGCAGGTAAATCAGCTGCTCATATTTGTATGCCAGACACTTTGAATTGTAAACACTGAGTCAGTGGTACGTTACCTAAATAATTCCTGACTTTTATCAACTAAGGGATTTCTTTGGTGGCAGGTGTGCTGAATGTTTTACCTGACACAGTCACCTCTGTATTTGGCAGGTGCTTTATTATTGGCTTCAAGGAAAACACAACTGCTCTACTTATACGACACTGTGTACCTGTTTGAGTATGTACAAGTTGAGTATTCTCCATACCAGTGAAGGCATCTATAGTGGCTGCAGTGCTCTGCTGTCTTCCTCTTCTCGCTGCCACAGTGATGCTGTACTCAGTCCCCGGCTCAAGGTCGGTCAGAGTGGTGGTGGTAACATCTTTAGGCACAGTCAGCTGAAAAGAAAGACACAGTTAAGCATTAATTCAATAGGATTTCTTCAGACACAAAAGGTCAGAGTCACGTTGGTCCTTGGATGATTGTTGACCCATCTATGTACAGTATTATTAAAAGTATGTTTAATATTTGATCTATTATTCATGAGGTATTAGTCTGTCCTTTTCCTTACCTCAGTAGAGGCACCAGACGAGGATGTGAAGGTGACCTTGTAATGGTCGATGGGACCCTGGACCAAGCCCCACACCAGAGTGATGGTGTTGTCTGTAGAAGCCGTCACAGTGAGATCCATGGGCACGTCCAGACCTGATAATGAGGAGACAAGATTTCAGGTCAAACAAATTATGATCTTTTAATTTGGAGAAAATAAAAAAAAGGTTATTTGTGCAATTTAAATGATGCCTTTAATTCGTTTTTAACATTTATTTTACCCTCCTTTTGTTTGGGCGACCTCAAAAAGTTATAACAACAGTAGGTACACAAAGCTTGATTTTAACTCTCTGTTGACTTACTTAAAAGTTATAATCTCATGTTATGTTGTAGGATGTTTTCTGTTTATTGCTACACTGTCCGAGCCTTTTGTGTTTACAACTGTAAAACTATTTCTAAGACACTCTGATGTTTCAGTCCCCTCTTTCGCTTTAGAAAAAACAATCATATCTCAAATTTGCATGCCTCCCCATCCTGCTAATGAGAAAGTCCAGACGTTGTTTCATGTCACATCCTTACATTTTCCTCAAATAAATTGAGTTGATTGAAACCTTTGTTTTGTTTACATTTCAGCGATCTGCCCCCAACGTTTTAGCTAGTTGTTCTTTGGCGCAGCACTGACAGAAAAGCAGGACTGTTGCTGATTCAAATGTTGCTTACTCCTCCTTATTATCATAATCATCCCACATTCTGTGTTTAATCTTCTTGTTTTTGTTCTGGTTTTAAGATTGTCTTTTTATTTCCTGCAGCAATGACCCAACTTGCCCACCGGATCATCAATGTTTAATTCTCCTCTAGTGCAAATGTTTTTGGAGATTACTGTCAAACTGATTTTTGAAGGGTAAAGTAAGACTGAAAGTACTTCGATTGAAGCCACTGATAATGGAAATTATGCTTTTAGCTTTCAGCAACATGACCACTGCTGCATGCTGGCCAGAGAGGTGTTGTTGTCTTTTTGAGAAAGATGTGATAGCTGTACTGCACCTTTAAAGTTCAAAGAGTTGGATAGAAAGTGCTTGTTCGTAAAATTGAGGTATAATTTCGTAAAGTGCAAAATACCTTCAGCCATTAAAATGATTGCAACTGGAGGGAAGATGTGCTTGACATTCAACATGATGGGAAAGATTAGCAAAGCACCTTCACCCACTAACATTTTAACAGAAGGTTAAATGTTTTTTAAAAGACAGAAAAAACACAATAAAAATTCAAATAGCTTATAATGATATGAGACAACGAGGGCCATTAGCAGTCAATGGTATGCATTATCACAGCCTTAAAATGCTGTAATGAGAACTTTAGCCCCAGCAGGTTTTATAGAACATCACCAAAAATAGCACACGTCTTGCTAAATTTCACTAAAGTGGCTTTAAATGGTTGGCACAGGAGCACTGACCCACAGCAGGAACTGAACATTACAAGTATAATAGCAAACCAGATGCTGTGAAGCCGGTATTTCTACAACGCCGCTGTGATCCACTTACAAGAAAGTGCCACCCTCAAAAAGACCATTTGAACATCATTTACTCACTGAATGTGTCTTTGTCCTAGAAATCCTAGATTTATTTTCTTTTATGACTCTACAGTGACGGTATAGACCAAAAACGTATAGTCTTTAATGAAATAGCATACAGGTTTTAAAATAGCAAAACTATATGAAAAGTACAGTTTACAAACTCTCACACCACTGTTGCAGTACAATAATGATAAATAAGTTTCATTTCTCCAATTTGCTCACTACTAAACACGTACATTTTCTCCATGTTTATACTGCACAAGTCGTGTGAAACTTGCTTAACTGATGTTCCAATTTCTGGATTCTCGGTTCACTATGCAGATATGCAAGTAACTCAGTTTTCGACAAAACCTTTAATTACAATTACACCTTGAGTAATTGATATACAAATCAAATTGTATATACAAATGATGTTGTATTTTATAGTAATTTCAAGGGTGAAGTATTCCTATAATCTGTTTTACATACATCAGTGGAGTAGAAACAGGGATGGACTCACCTGTCCTGGCATTCATTGTAGCTGGCGTACTCTGGTTGCTATCTTTCATGGCAGAAATACCAATGCCGTACTCTGTGCCTGGCAGCAGGTCTAAGGCACGAAGACAGAGAGGGAATCCGTTACTAAATTAAAATATCATACAGCAAAAATAAACACACACTTGTTTCCCACTCTCCTTCTCAAGCAGAGTGCATGTCAATTAGAATGAGTTTTTCACAACAGCCCAATTAGCTCTACATTGGTGATGAGGTCTGGGTAAATTAACGTACATCAGTATCATTTCTATGAAAAAAACTCTTACAGCATAACTGATCAGTTTCAAATCCATTCAATACATCCACAGTGAGTTTCATAAGTTACAGGAATAAGATAATGAGGAATGGAAATGAGCGTGGAAGTGACAAAGATTATTAGTAGAGAGAAAGTGAGAGTGACAGAGAAGGAATGAGGGTGTCGGCAGCATTGATTGCAATGGCCCAACAAAATAACACAAGGACCTTTGGCTTCTATTCTTATGCTGGCCGTGCCCTTTCCAGGACTGTGGCCTTTCAGAAAAAACATACCAGCTGACCCTTCCTTTCTGACAGCCTTTCAATACGCCCGCAGGACAACAAGCATTTCTACAGATACAATCAGTAGCCCTGTCAGCTGAATGTTAGCTCTGCAGATAATCCTGCCATGTAAAACACACAGGCTCTTCCAGCTTCCTCCGCATACATTAGATGCTCTGAGATAATACTGGAGACATAAGGAAAACACATCGCACTGAGCAAAAGGCCCCTACAGATGTTCATACATAATTCAATACAAATGAACTACACCACAAATGAAGAAATAAATTAAAGAAAAGAAACAGCACTTTTTCCTTACCTGTGAGGGTGGTCTTAGTGGTGGCTCCCTCATTGCGTGGTACAATGACTTTATCATACTGGTCTCCTGCTAAAGTGCTGTACACCACCTGGTAGCCCTCCATCTGGATTTAAACATATACGTTGAAACTTTAAGAACACCAACAAAAAGGAAACATTTTAAACAAAATGAAGAAAGTACAAGACTATTAACCAATAGTCGGATCACAGAATAAATGCATTATGTTGCATTAGCCCAGCATGACATTAGTCTCTCTGCCGTGCAGGATCATGGGGATGAATACATTTGTAGTTCTACAGTAAGCGGCACGTCTGTTTGTGTAGTTATTAGGGTCGGGCGATTGGATCATGAAGATATCTGCTACCAGTGATTGGCTAAAAACATTGCTTATTGTTTGTTTTTTGGCTGATGTTTGTAATTCTATTTTGCTAATTTAAAATTGCTAATTTAGATTTTTAGTCACAGTAAAACGTTTCGGTGACCACTTGAACCCAACACATTTGTTTGCTACATTCTCTGTATTGGCATTTACCAAGCTGACAAAATGCACACAGACCTGTCGGTGATGATAAAGTGCTCAATACAACAAGACAGAGCTTAGAGAAATGGAAGGAATAAAAAACCCGCTTTACGGTGGGTAGTATGCAGGAAGGGTCCGGGGAGCATGGATAAGGTCAAGGGATTAAGGACAAATGAGTTGTTTACACAACATGTATTCAGTTAAATACGGGACACCTACTGTAAGGTTGATTTGAGATCTTGTGTAATCTAAAAAGTATTTCAGGTTAGTCCAGTACACATATTTGAATAATGAACATAATCAGAAAAAATAAAAGAGACAAAACATGTGCTTTCAGAAGAGACCATATATCTGTATATTACATTGCAGATGTTTGGCATGAATAGCTTGTGGAGGTATTCAGAATCTTTACTCATTATTTAATTATTATAATATAATTTAAACAAGTTCCTATTCTCTGGGATGTTCTAATATATAACATTGCATTACATTTTATATGCTATTCAAATGTTGTTTTGTCCCTGCGTGTTAGTAACTTAAATTGGCTGAAAAACAAGTCATGAAAATGAAATGCAACGGCTATTCGGTCATCATTTATTTACCTCAGCCTCGCTGTTGTCCCATTCGAGCTCCAGGGAGGTGGAGGTCTTGGACACGAGCCGCAGGTTCTTAGGGGCATCGATCTCTGAGAAGAACGATAAAGCTGACAATGTTGGGGACACTGAGACCAATTCTCAGCGATTGTGAACAAGCAAACATCAGCGGTTTACAAATCAGACACAGACACTGCTGGTGGGCAACTGTTAATTACTACAGTTGATCTGTTTGTATGAATACATTATTTACATCAGTTGCATCACATGTTCATTTGTAACATTGTATAGCTCATTAGTAAGTCAATGCATATTATATTACATACAAATAGATGATGTATTCAAAAAATTTCATTTTGATGAATTCACTTTTTGTTTGCATTCAAAACAAGAAAGGATAGTGTTTCCACAACAAATCCACAAACTACGGTACACACTGCAGCAATAATTACTCTGACCAGATGTTCACTACTATACGCAATACAGATAAACGTTATGTTTTACATTAGGCCATATGTCATAGACTTTTCTATCCTCAGAGGCAGGCCAGGATCCCACACACACAAACACACACTACTATCACCACATCTGCTTGCTGTCAGACCTCACCAGTAGTAAATTCAGTGGAAATAGATCCGCTCTCATTTCCTCTACGCACTCCGCTCACAGAAACCTCGTAACGCGAGCCAGGACGCAGAACCTTTGAAACAAAAACAAAAAACAGGGACAGTTAGGCCTGTTTAATCTCTTCGCATGGCTTTTCTCATTTGTTTTATGTTTAATCTCCAGACACAGACGGCTGGCAGACTCTGGGAATAAATAATATTACCAAGCATGACAACAGTACACACACAACATAGCACTTGTGAGTACAAAGTAATAACACCAAAGCCAACCATGAACCCAAAGATAAATGGTTTAAGTTGTGAGGACGAGCTTTTCTGTCCACAGATGGCAGGTGAATCCACATGATGTGTGTGTATGATGAGATCTGTGACACCACAATGTGATACATTGCACACACACCACACCACTCACCTGCAGGGAGTATTGACTGAGCGTTGGCTGGAGGCGGAAGGTGGTCCGTGGACCCTCTCCTCCCACCAGGCCGTATCGTAACACGATCTGATCAATCTTTGCCTTCGGTGGTGTCCACTCCACGAACGCTACGGTGTCTGACACATCCCGCACAACCAGCTGAGTGGGGCCATCAATCACTGCATACAGAAAAAGGAGGAAAGAAGCAGAATTATCGACCGTCCTGTTGCTCGCTTTGCCAACCTTTCCATCTATTGCTGCACTTTTATTTTACTTGGTCGATTTATTGTTTTCAAAATGTACAGTCTTTTTAATTTGACCAGATTTTTTGGTTGGATTCCAAAACATTCGTAGGTGGAGATGCTACCAACAATTATTTAATATGGTAAATACAATTTAAGAAAATCGTCAAAAGTCTGTGAAGCATAAGGTGATGTCTATAAATTGCTTGTTTTGTCCAAAACACACTCCAGAAACCCCAACATATTTCATATGTTTGCCATCACATAAGACAGTGCTTCTTAGTCTTTTTGCCTTGTAACACATACAAAAATAACCACACGTGACAAAAATACTTAAAATATTTAATGTTTTATCTTCTTAGATTGTCTAATTTGAATACTATTTTTGTAAACATACTTTACATTAAGAAACAACTTTTTTTTTTATTTGTCTTAAAATATCTAATTTTCTTTCATTGATTAAAATCAAATTCATTCTTAGTTGTTAAATGTTGTCTAACCACAAGCAGCTTAAAATATGGTAATGTTAAATTATGTTTGAACTGAACAAAATCAAAAGATATAATTAATACGATTGGTAATTTGACCAAATGATTGAAGCCAACTTTTGATTTGAACACATTTCAGTCAGTCTATAAGGAAGAGATGAAAGTTCATGTTAATACTGCTACAGGCCAATGCATTGGTAGATTGGTTATCAGGAAAAGCTGTTCGTTGACAGCCAAGCATGTACTGTAGAGCTTATCAGACCCAACACACGCGAGACAATAGGCTTTATCTCTGCAAGGTGTAAAACATAAGCCGCGATTAAAGTCTTTCTATGCCGATTGCTGGAAAACAGCACATACTAGGTGTTAAGAACTTAAACACATTTCAAAAGAAGTTAGCTCCCCGTGTCGAAGAAACACAAAACCCTCCTCCACAATAAGGTGGTGTTTCTCAGAGGGGAGCCCAATCTGGACCGGTGCTTTGTTATGTTGATTCATAGGACTTTGCTAGTCATGAAATAGCAATAACAAACGTCATGTTCAAGCATAGGGTGATCCATGCACAACTGTAACTGGTACTACCATAGGCCCAAAATATATGATCAAATGTGTGGCCGTAACATAAACTCTCTGGCTTTATGGTTTAAACACTCAGTTCTTGTTCACTAATGAGTGTAGGAAAAGCTTTCGATTCGCCTACAGAGCAAACAGGTCCACAGACGACGCCATAGCCCTCACCATCCACACTGCCCTCTCACCCCTGGACCAGAGGAACACATATGTGAGAATGCTGTTCATTGATTACAGTTCAGCCTTCAGTTACAGCTCAGGGACCTCGGGCTCAACAGCGCCCTCTGTGACTGGATCCTGAACTTCCTGACGGGCAGACCCCAGGCAGTGCGGGTGGGAATTCAGCTTTCAACACCATTGTGCCCTACAAGCTGGTCAACAGCGCCCTCTGTGACTGGATCCTGAACTTCCTGACGGGCAGACCCCAGGCAGTGCGGGTGGGAAACATCACATCCTCCACCCTGATCCTCAAGGCTGCATGCTCAGCCCTCTCCTCTACTCCCTGTTCACACATGACTGCGTGGCCACACACAGCTCCAACACCATCGTGAAGTTTGCTGACGACAAGACCATCATCGGCCAGATCACAGACGGCGACGAGACGGCGTACAGAGAAGAGGTCGGAAAATGGACATCTTGGTGCCAGGACAACAACCTCCATCTCAACGTCAGCAAAACCAAGGAGCTGATTGTGGATTACAGGAAGCAGCAGAGAGAGGGACACGCCCCCATTGCCATCAATGGGACTAGGGTGGAGAGAGTCAGCAGCTTCAGGTTCCTCTGTGTCCACATCACTGAGGACCTGACATGGACTCTTCACACCACCAACATCACCAATAAAGCTTGACAGTAGCGCTTCTTCCTCTGCAGGCTGAGGAGGTTCAACATGGACTCCAGGATACTCTGCAACTTCTACAGGTGCACATAGAGAGCATCCTGACCTTCTACAGGTGCACCATCGAGAGCATCCTGACCTTCTACAGGTGCACCATAGAGAGTATCCTGACTGGCTGCATCACGGCCTGGTACGGCAGCTGCACCGCCCTCAATCGTAAGGCTTTACAGAGGGTGATAAAAACTGCACAGAACATCACCAGGACGAAGCTGCCATCCATGGAGGACCTTTACTCCCGGCGGCTCAAGAAGTCCCTCCGGATTATAAAAGACCCCCATCACCCCAGCCACAAACTGTTCAGTCTGCTGACATCATGCAGGCATTACCGCAGCATCCGGACAAAAACCACCAGATTCAGAGACAGTTTCATTCCACAGGCAATAAGACTGTTAAAAACCTGAACTGTTGTAACAACATCCATAAAATTCATCTGCTACTTAGTAATTATTTATCTATTTATCTAATATATCATATTTCAATGACTTGCATATAGACGCTTATTTCACTACTTCACTTTTTTTAAACTATTTTTCTTTTTGTATTTACCTTTTAATATTTACTTGCACTATATTTTTCTGTTTTTCTGTATTATTGTGTTGCACTGTTGGAGAAGCCTGTGACCTAATATTTTCATCAACATAACTACTCTGTAGCTATGCTCGTATGACAAATAAAGAACCTTGAACCAGTTGCTGCATGAAAGAATAGGGATACATAAAGTATTACTCTGCATGCTCTCATTGTTAGAGCATCAAAATAAAGACATTTCAGTCAAGGTAATGGAGTGTTAAAGAATGTGACAATAAGCACTCTGCTTCATTAACCTGTGGATTACCTTTATCCACTGAAGCTATGGTGTGACATATGTTGCTTTAACAGATTGTGGTGAAAATGCAGGTGCTTTTGATCTCTGAATCAACACTTTTCTTGATGATTTTCACAGCGGGTTAACAGGTATCTAATATACAACTAAAATTAAATTAATTTCCAGTTTATGATACATGTTAAATTATCCATGATATGTTTGAAGAGACAGCCCAAATAGCACCTGGGACAATGCTCAGTTGTAATTGAATTGAAAGCCCCATTCTTGTTGAGCATAATGATTCTCTGTCGATGTCCCCAGGGCCAACTTATGTAAATGAAATATTTCAAACAGTAAGTGAAACAGGAACATAAAGTCCTTCTTAAAGCTTTGAGATCTAAATAAGTCTGAGAATAAGGCTACACATGTTGCAGGTCAACCCCGATCCTTGAAATTGGGAAATTGGGCCCTTGGGTCTTGTCCTAGAAAACATCCCGAGGAAGACATCTGCTGAGAACCTGTTCTCACATCAGCTCTCCTCTCCCTCTGGTTTTCCTCCGACTCCTCATCACACTCACTCCGTCTCAGAGGAAGGATACATCTTTGTTATTAATAATTGAGTAACTTCAAATTTGTCTTTTCCTCTTTCTTTATCCAATAAAGTGTCCTGCAGTGGGCCGTCGTAAAATAATTAATGACAGTGTGCCATGAATTATTAATCCTTATTTAATTACTCCCCACAAAATGAACAGAGATTTGACAGGACAATTGATGGTGTTTTGACTACGGATATCAGAGTTTGAATTGTTACGAAAGAGGTTTGAATTGCCTCTATTACAGATGTCTAGTAATAATGGCAGCTCGGTGAGGAGTGGGGCAATACCTCAGTGAGGTTTACATTGGGGACATTAATAATGGCAGACTATCAAATACGTCAAGGTGACATCGTATTTAACTCTGCATTTTTGTGTGCGTGTGTTTGTGTGGACGGAATATATGCTACATGTCCTAAAATGACATTTATGGAGAAAATTAATTGCTGACAGTTATAATAATCACTTAATTATTTAAGCCTTTAATCAGGCAAAATAGCAAACATTTGCTTCAATCAGCTTCTTAATTTTGAAAACTTACAGTTTTTCAGTTATTTATTCACTGTAAAACAAACACTGTTGTTTCTGCAAAACAAGGACTTTGAGATGTCCCCTTGGGTGGGTTTTAACTGACAGATTAATACATAATAATACAATATTTTATTTGCAGTGCTGCTCACATTTCATATTAATATAAAATAACCTTTTTCTGATCAAATATGCAAATGTTTAAGAAAAATGGTAGTGGCTATTTAATCGTATTCCTCCTTAGGGCACATTCACAACTTATCTTAAAACCCCTAAACACTTTATTATCCAACCAAATCAAGTTTTATTTATAAACCACATTTAAAAACGATTTTTGGTCGAGCCAAAGAGCTGTATATGTAATAAAAGCATACTACAATAACACAAGAAAAAAAATTGAAAAGACAATAATTTACAAAATAAATATAAAGACAAAACACAGAGAAATGTCATGTTATGGCAGTATTGCTAAATGTGTTTAACTAAATTAACAAAAATCATGTTGTGTGGTTTGACCTGGCAACAAAAGCTGTGATCACATTTTGTTTAAAGGTCACCTATTGTGCAAAATGCACTTTTTGATATATTTTGTACATAAATATGTGTCCCCGGTGTGTTTGGTGTTTTGAGCAAAACACTCCATAAATATGTTTTTTATATATTTTTATATATCTGAGACCTATGCTATTGCCTAAAAATAGCATGATAGGGACATTTAAATGTTGTTTCTTTAAAGCTTCTATTCATACGTACATGTTGTGACAGTGGTAGTGAATGGCTGGCTGCGACCCTGGTCTCTGAGCGCAACCAGGTTCACAGTGTACTCCTCCCCTGGCCTCAGACCAGTCTGCACGAAGAAAGTGATGGTGCTGGGCAGCTGTGCAGTCATCCCTCCTTCATTGTCCTTTGAAAAAAAAACAAGAGATAAATGTGATGAGCTGAAGAGCAATGCAATCTGCATATTTCGAGTAAGTGCCAGTTACTTTGTGGCTTAAACTCTGTGTCTCAGTGGAGATAAGGCATCTGGCAGATGCAAAATATCTCCAGCAGATACACATAAACAGTGACTCATGTATGCAGTAGACTTTCTGAACTGTATATTTCCTTTGACTGATTCGTACATGTTTTAGATGAATTAGCACATTAAGAACCTTGTTGCGGAAGTATGAGTCAGTGATATTTCTCAGGCCATGTTCTGCAGAGGCAGCACTCTGTACATTTCTAAAGGCCTGTCACTCATCCATATGGAGACACTGCTTTTCCCAGCTGTTCTCAGAGAGCAAGTGTTGCACATGCACTTCCTGCCAACAGACAGATGTTCTACCTACTGCTGCTCCAAGATTCCCAAAAGCGAGCGCTACGAAGGCACGTACAGTATTAAAACAGAACTTAGAACAGCTTGCTGCTTTCCTGAATCAAAACTGTAATTAGAGATGTAATCCATTTAATCACCTCAGCTAAATTACCAGGGTGGGCAGTAACACACAGCGGTAATGTTCCAATAACAAATGGTCCTCAATCTCAATAATAATACAGTTAAATGTTAAATTATGCTAAATGAATCACCATAACAGTATATCCACTCCCATCTCCGATGCCAGTTTGCTCGTAATTAGTCATCATTCTTTTTGCCGACAAGGTCGCTGAGATGAGGAATGACAAAATACTTTTTCTGGTCCTTGTTGAGGTGTTTTTATTACTTTAATTTAACACTGATGATCATTATCTGTTTGATTTCTTCTTGGTTAATTATAATGGTAATTTCGTTTTTCAAGTAAGACAGCATGTAATTATATGCCCCTAAAAAAAGAGAGTCATGAAGTGATTCTAATAATCCTCTGACTATCACAAAAAGCAATATAATAATATTACATTTGAACGGTATTACAGCAGTGAATAAAACTGTAATACCTTTAATGTGAAAACGAATGAAGCACCATATTTTTTAAATAACTACAAGGCTGGATATTACTAGAGGCAAGGGGAAAATCTGTTTGTAATGACACATTGGGGGTTTACGTCTCATTTCATCACCAGATTAATTATACCTGATGCAGCTTGAAAGATTGATTTGTAGTTATTACCCAGTCTCTTCTTTCCAGGAGTGAAAGAGAAAGTCACAAAGTGCATCGTAACATTAGTTTGAGCATGATCGAACATCCTTTCAGGCTTGTGAAGATCATTATGGTAAAAAAAGTGCTTAAGGTAAGAACAATACTGCAGAGCCTCATCATGAGGACTGACCGCTAAGCTGTGACAATTTGTTTGAATATTCAGCATGAATCACAATGCTGAGATACTTCAGGTAAACCCTGATCGTTATGCATGCTCATGTGTGTGTTTCCATGTGTGTTAATCTCATCTGCCAAGAAAGACACAGCAACTTGTCCAACAATCAAAAAAACAAAACAAAATTAAGACGGACCTTCCAGGAAACTGCTCTGGTATCCTTCTAATTCTATAGATAAATATAGATTGTATGGCTGTATATGAATATACAGTATACCACTGAAACTAATGTAATAAAAGTACAGTGCTACTGGCAGCCATATTGATTGAATGATTGCTTTACAGCTACAACAAGCCCAACATATAACACATGGGTATGATGTGCTAGCAGTGGGATTTTTCATTTTAGTGTCGGATATAAAATATCTGTAGCTGTTTCTAACAGCGTTAACGGCAAGTACAAATCTCCCCCTGCCCCTCCCCCTCCCCCTCTCTCTGTTTCCATTTTGACAGAGAGTTCTGTGTTTTTTCGCATAGCTTTCATGCCTACTTCCATTACAAGATTGTCAAAATTCACAATCCCCATTGCTGGATTAAATCCACGGGGGGCGGGACTGCCAATTCATAATATGATTTCCCCCGTGGTTGGAGCAAGTGGAGGGAAAGCAAGGAAGGATACAGGAGGAGAGGAAGAGAGAGATGAAGAAGAAAGAAAAGGTTGAAGGGTACCTTTTGAGGGTAGAGAGGAAGAGAGTCAGGTATTTCGACTGAGAGGTGGTGGATGGAAATAGAAACAAGAGATTAAGAAGAAAAGGTGGAAGGATGGAAATTGCTTGAAGAACAGAGACATAGGGGATTGGGGAGAAAGAGAAGATGGCTGAAAGCAATACAATTAAATTAGGAATCCCGCTGCTTTTTTCCCCATTCGGAAATGTTCTATCCGTTAAGGGCTTGAAATAAAAAAGAAAAAAAGCATCTTAACATCAGATTTGAGGCCGGACCAAAGGCTATCTCCCCCCGAGAACACCTTAAAGGAGAAAACCAATTACTGTGAGAGAGCACGAGATTAGAGTGCAGAGAGTAACTGCGTTTACGGCGGGAATTAGGAAGAGAAAGGTTTTTGCTTTCTGGCTTTGAACCTGGCCCTGCTACGGTTCCATGAAGGGGTTATTCTGGAAAAGGGTTTATTGGCTCATCCACCTAATAGCCAATAAGCTCAAGACAATCCGCTCGTCTAATTTGGTATGGGCCTCAAGTTGAGCAAAACCCTCAATAAATCCATCCAGTTATTTTTCTTCCTGTTTCTTCACAGAAATCGAAAGTCAGTTTGAAAAAAGAACGTTTTGTTTTTGTTAACAAGCAAGATGAATAAAATAAAATACTCTGTGTGTGTGTTTGTGGGTGATGGAGAGAGAAAAAGACGGTCATTTCCTCATCCTTTTTGTTTGGTCTCACACAGGACAGTGCACTTGTGTTACAGCATGAAATAGTGCTGTAGTCTCACATTGGGACTGACAGCGATCACATACGCTGAGTGTTCACACTGCTTTACTCTACCTTGGGGATGAAGCTGATCTCCCATCCATCGAAGGAATAGTAGAAGGGTAACCACTGGACCTCCACTGACGTCTCTGTGATGGATTTGAAAATCAAGCCATCGGGATTGGAGAGATCTGTAGAGGGAGCCAGAGACGTATTATTGTCTTCAGTGACCCACACAGCCCATAAATCACGACTCCACCTCATACTGAGGTGTCCACTTTTTCTCTTTTACATTTGTTTTTTTGTTCTGTTCCCTCGGTAATACTTTAAAATAACCATCAATAATCGAGGGTAAGTTCGTGTTTTACTGCTAAAATAGTACAAAGGCACACATTTCCTTTCATCAATTGTTTAAAAGTGTAACCCCCTGCTAATATATTTAATACATTTCTTACTGATAAACAACCTTTTATTTTTTCTGCCTATACATGTATATGCAATGTTTTCCAGTCGTAGCGATGTCAACATCAGTGCCTCGGTTTAAAACAAATGACTTGTACTTTTATTTTGCAAAATACCTAAATTACTTTTTCACAGGCAGCCGTGTCCTCATAAATCTTTCCAGATAATCAAATACTTCATTTCATAATTACGTTTTGCAAAGACAACCCAACAAATCATATCATACATGAATAATGGTTGCACCAAACTTAATTGCCTTCAATTAACTTTATAACTCCAAATGTTGCTATCACTGAAATTAAAGTCACTTATCTGTGAAATGGAGGATCATTTTACCAGCCAAGACTGATGGCTTCACACCGCACGGTAAGTAACCAGCTGAGTGGAGACAATATTCAGTTTGCCTTTGAAAATAAGCTATTACTATTCAGAGGTTCAGTGAGCTTGCATACCTTTGATAAGCAGGGAATAGTGTTTCTTTGTCGGATCGGGTGCCCTGGTATTAACACCGACCAAGAGTTTAATATTCAGAAGGTGTTCATATTTACGTTTGCGTGTATTTGAGTGGGAGTGACACCACGCAGGTGTTTCAGGTAGGAATCACAGCCAGTTGGCACAGAGGAGCAGGTGGTATTCTCACTCTATTGACACTGAAAAACATCTTAGGGAGGTTTTAACAAAAAATAAAAGGTGACAGACAGGGTGTGTGTGCATCCGCATGAACGGCTGTGTTCATGGAAGAATGCAAGTACAGCACCGAATGAGACGGAGGATATTTAACAAGGTACTGGTTTGAGGTATTACATTTATATTCTGTTGGTCATGCACCAAACATAGCCTCAGTGGAATATCCTTTAGTGCTCCCGTGAGAACATTTGGTCACAACAGCCACGAGCTTCACTTACAGGTGGAAACCGTGATGCTGGCAGGGACGCTGATACTGTTGTTAATGACAGCGAACACGTTGATGTTGAACTCTATTCCCGCCTCCAGGCCTGAGATAGTGCAGGTCGTGGTATTGCCTGGAATCCTTATCTCCAGTTGCACGCCTGATAGAAAGGCAGGTACAAAGATACAATGGTATATATATTTTCAAAGATATACATGCTTTAAGACATTTTGAATCAACTGTAACTGAAATGCAATTTTCCTTCCTTCAACAGGCCAGCATATCTCTGTACATACCTCCCGGGCTGCTGGGTGTGTAGGTCACTAAGAAATCTGTCAGAACAACGGACCCCTCCCACTCCACGTCAATGGTGCGGTCAGTCACGCCTCGGATCTTCACGTTCATGGCGGGTGCCACTGTTGAGACAAAATCCAACACAAATGAAGTTTAAACTGCTTTTTTCTTGTGTGTGTTTTACAATAACAATTATAAAGTGTAACATCAGAAAATCCCCTTTGGACTCACTTGTTAGTATAGTGCATGTGTCATAAGATTGCAGTTAGCAATTGTCTACCTTAGTGGGAATACTGAAAAACGCACTTGCTCAAAATTGTATGGCAACGTTTTTCACACCCATAATTAACAATTTCAGTGTGTTTATGTTTGCCAGCAAAGCGAGGCATTTTTGATAACATATATCAACTCAATTTATGGAGCAAAAGCTAAAATATGGCTTCATGGCTAGGGAATTGACTGCCAGTGCTACAACTAATTCCTTAATCCAGACAAATAATATGCATCAGATTGAATTAGAATTTTTTGTTAATTTATTTGACACCACACAATAATACATATCTGAATTAAATGTCAAGCATTTTAATGTACTCATGTTGATTTTGAACCACAGCAAGCACAATCAGTAACATTAGATCTAGTCTGATTAGCTTGAGCTTCCCCAACCCTATGAGAGTGAGCCTTGAGATACTCAGGGCAAGGATCCAGATTAACTTTTACATTGATTACAACAGGGACATATAAAATGTAATGGGCCTTTTGCATGCACACACATTTTTGGAAACCCTTCTTCCCCACTTTCAAAATTAATCAAGCGCCTCGGATGATGAGTCACCTAACCAGGGACATGAGAGCCAGATAGTGGAGCAGATACCTCTGCTGATGATGTCAGGTCTGGGGACCGCTGTAACCGGCACCAAAGCAATCTGACAAAACCGTCATTTGAAATGACCGTTATGTTTGAGGTTGTGATGGGGCTTGAGGGGATAAACAGGGCTCGGTTTCACACATACAGAGACACACCTGCTAAATGTCAGGCGCACTGGTGCGAACAATGAACATATTTAGTTGCACTTCACTGACTTTAGGCCGCACCCTGGAGCCCTAATTCAGAATTGTACACAATACTGAGACGTTCTTGTATAGCTCTATCCTTCAAAGAGGCACATGGTCCTCTCCGACTGCGGCACCTAGTAGTAAGTCCCATGGGAGAGGTCATACTCTCCATTCCACCGATACAATTAGGATCGGCAGGGCTGTGACAAAGAGTAATTGTGAAGAGTTCACCTTTCTCTTCGTTTTTTAATGGGAAATGGACCAGGACACTAATGGATGTATCCTGACAATAAGAAAGGCAAAATATAGTCAAGCGGAGTGCCTTATCAAGTTGCTATATTTCCCCTTTCTCTGCATGATTGTGCCATTCAGGTTCAATAAAGGTAGAATAAATAACATTTAAAAAGTTTGTATTATTGTGCCAACCCCACACAACATCCCTATATGTGTCATTGTTTCGCTTGGTTTTCTTCATGCATACACGTTAAAACATGAACACGGGGTACACTGCAATGCGTATATGTGTGTTCCAGTCAGTAAAAGAAGCCAGAGCTTGTGGAAACACGAGGCTGAGTGTTTACATGACAGGGAGGAGCCCTCACTCTGAAGTAGAGATCGTCAAGCCATAAGCCCTGAAAGGTGGTGTTGAATGTCAATGTGGAGGCATAAACAAGAGTGTTTACAGCTCCCACTGCCAAAAACAAGAAGGAGGAGGGGGGAAGGCAGGTGAAGGACATAAAGGAGGAGAAGACAAGACAAAAGGTACACACAGTTTGAGTCAAATAAACAAGACAGGTTCACAGACAGGAGGAGAAAAAAGACAAGAATAGAGGAGCCTCATAAACACAAGGTTAAATGAGAGTAAAATAAGGATGACTTGGGAAACCAGAGTGAGACAGAGCAAATTGAGTGTGATAGTGTGATAAGCAACCTCTCACACTCTCATCATCTCTCCTGTGATACAGGACTACAGCACAGCACTGAGACCGTCTCAGGGGAACCTTTGGACACACTAGGAGCCGTTTCAGCCCTTTCCACACACTCTCCACAGATGGGCCCATGCTACACAGTAGTTAGCTCATTTCCAAACAGTGAGCCTGCACTGGGGACAGATCCTGCAGCATTCAATTAGCAAGATTTATTTCATCGATTAGACTCAGCTTCGTCACGTATATGAAGGAAATAACAAATCAAACGAAGGAGCTATAACCCACGGTATAGGAAGTAAAGACTTTCTCTTCTATAGAAAATGAAGGGCAAACTCTCAAGTGGGCACTTTGGAAAAGGTACTTATGAAATATTAGACAAAGGAGCGTTTTACTTATAATATACATCAGAGATAGAGGAGGGGTGAGCATCTCACATAGATGTTGATACATGAAAGGCTGCCAGGAAACTCAAATGCAGATATTTCCTTTATTTTCACCAAGGACGTGGTTCTTACATCCTATCAACATTTCTTTTTGATTGGGCTAATGTCCAACTTCAGAAGCAGTTGTCCGTGCCTACCTTAAAGTCTGATTTATTTGTAATCCCTTTAAGCACATCTTGTTCTTGGCTGTCTACAAGGAGTTGTGATGTCAAACTGTTTTAAGGATTTCCCCCAAGTAGAACAAAAAGCATCAGACATGTAAAGATGAATCTGAAGTTCAGTTGTATCCCTTCAGCCAAATGTTAGAATTATGTTTAACAAATGATGTGTTGAAATGCTTATCTGCATTACCGGGATGTTACAAATGCACCGGTAATATTAGTTGCAAACTATTTCAAATGCAGAGGGGTGTGAATTTGTTAACATGTATCTTGCCTAAAGGATATTTAGGAATCTCTCTCCATTGTTTGTCAGTGATACAGTTTTATTCTCACTGAAACAAGTTAACAAAAGGCATTTTTAGATGTTATAAAAATCCTACTATGAATGTAAAGACTCCACAGTTTGAAGGAAAACCTCCTGAGTGCATGCACAGCGCTGAGACCCCCCCACTATGTGCAGATTGTAAATGTCAGTTGTCACCACGAGCACTCCGGTGACGCACTCGCCACTTTTGTAACTGAAGAATCAGGACTCATTGAACTGATTGTGGAGTTTCTCTGCTGCCAAGATGAAACACTACACTATAACAAAAGCTGATCTTTGATTTGTGTGTGGACATATTTGTATGTAAAGATATACTGTATCTTCCCATACGCCCGAAACATCCCATTTAAATTCAACACCCTCCATTATTTCTCACACTGGAAGAATATAGGCCACCATAATTGAGGCAAAAAATACATTCCGCTTTCTTCAGCTTTTGATAACATGAAACACTTAAGCCTGTCACCCTACAGGTCTCTGGTAATTGAACTGCTTCGTTTTGTATTCAGCAAACTATCCGCTACAAGCATTGGCTATTTTAGCCTCTAATTGGGCAGAAATAAGCAATTCGGACCCCCTCACTAGGTATAGTAAAGGGGAGGGCAGCAAGGAAGAATGAGCCTCTTTAATACGAGTTGCAGTGTCTGTCTTTCTCCTGCTCACTCTTCTGCCTGTCATCATCCTTCATGTTGTTGACAGCAGCTTTAGAAGGGAGAGGAGCATCTGTTATGTTGGTGTGAAACGCTGGGTCTGAACAAAAGGCGAGTGTGAGTCAAAAACTGTCTCAGCTGCAGTGAATGTGACAGCTCTCTGGTCGGATGAATGTGACTTTTGACAATTTAGTGTTGTCATACCTTCTGCTGTCCAGCAAGTCAACCGCCACTTGGATTTGAAGCGGATGTTTTTAAGGACTGCAAGATGCTTAAAATGATGGGCCTGAGTTTTCAGATCCTATGTACCTAACTGCTGTAGCAGAAAGTAAGAGAGAACTTTGCATTAATATATCTATTGCTCAGATCTCCCTAGCTGCTCGGTAGGGTTCAGAGAGGCCAACAAGATTCATGGAGCATAATTTATAAGACGGTTTATATTCTATCCAAACACTACACTCGGCTGTAAGATTAATTTCTTCCTTTATTTCCTCAATAGTGTGGCGATAAATGAAATCCCCCACTGTAGCTGTTATCTTTGTGCAAACTCTCAGCACTCCATGGAACATGAATGCCATTACCCACTGTAATGTATTTCAAGTTTCTGTAATGTATTTCAAGTTTCTGTAATGTATTTAAAGTTTCTGTAATGTATTTAAAGTTTCTGTAATGTATTTCAAGTTTCTGTAATGTATTTCAAGTTTCTGTAATGTATTTCAAGTTTCTGTAATGTATTTCAAGTTTATGTTGTGTATTTAAAGTTTATGTAATGTATTTAAAGTTTATGTCGTGTATTTAAAGTTTCTGTAATGTATTTAAAGTTTCTGTAATGTATTTAAAGTTTCTGTAATGTATTTAAAGTTTCTGTAACATATTTGTATAGGTCAATTCAAGATTCAAGGCTTTATTGTCATGTGCACATTCGCTACAGTGCAGATATGGCAATGACAAACTTAAGTCACAGGCACAAAGTAGCATGTCTTTAAGTTGAGTTTTCTGAGCAATTGTTAAGGGAGTTTCCATGTTGGGAAACTGAACCCCAAATGTCTGACAAATGTTCTTCAAGAGGATCAAATTGACTAAATTGATAAAAAGTAATAGCCTACCAGAGTTGCAGTCATCTCCTGCGAAGCCATCCTGGCACTCACAGAATCCCTCCTTGCAGACTCCCTTCTTGCTGCAGTTGTTGGCGCAGTAGACCATGGAGCAGTCCTCCCCCACGTACCCCGGCCTGCACTGGCACGTCCCGTTGACGCACTGCCCCTGGTCCGAGCAGTCGTTCAGACACCTGCCCACCATGCAGTCTTCGCCGGTGAAGGACTCTTCGCAGACACACTCTCCATCGATACAGAGCCCGCGACCCGAGCAGTCTGAAGGACACCGCGGCTCTGAGCAGTTGTCGCCTCCAAAGTCACGGTCGCACACACACTCCCCCTCCACACACACACCCTGGTTGGAGCAGTCGTCCGGGCAGCGGGACTCGGAGCAGTTTTTGCCGGCCCAGCCTTCCTCACAGATGCAGCCGCACATGTCAAAGCTGAAGCTGCCATGGCCGCTGCAGCCTGGCAGGAAGTCCAAATGACCTTTAAAAAAACAAAAAATGCTTTATTCAAATATCAAAGTAAAATTAAAGGTCACCTATTATGCAAAATCCACATTTTCCTGTATTTTATACAGAAACATGTGTCCCCTCTGTGTAAAGAGATTGTGAAAGTTTCGGGAAACAATATTTGCTCACTTTTTGTCCTGATCCATTTATATAAAAACCTGTCTGAAAATCAGATTTTGGCCACTTTATGATGTCATAACGTTTTTGTTGGCTTCTTTAACCATTAGCCAATCACCAACCAAGGTAACTCCCCTTGTGTGTGTGTGTGTGTGGGGGGGGGGGAGGGACACGACACACACACACACACGCAACTTCCAACAGGAGTCATTTGGGGCTCTTGGGAAAAAAAGGTTGGGAACCCCTGTCCTAGAGCACCATTGTGTTTTTTTTAACCAAATATCTCTCAGAGGGGCGTGGAGAGTGGCTCCTTATTTTCATATAAAGTAGCAGACAAAGAATCAGCACTTTTGAAACAGGGCTGAAACAGAGGGGATTATGGGATACTGCAATGCATGATCTGTTTGGTATTTTGAGCAAAACACTTCAGAGACATGTTTTGTATATATCTGAGACATATTATATGGATGAAAAACAGTACAATAGGGGACCTTTAAATCGAAAGGGAATCAGTTTTAGGGTTAAATGATTAGTTAAAATTAGAAATGAACACATCGAATCATTTCCGTCCTGATATCCAGAAAAAGTCCTATCCCTCTATGATGGAAGAAACAGAAGTCAAGACATCGATGAAAAGCATTTTTACCCAGCCGCCGTCCTCCACAGCTGAACATTTCATCCTCATTCTGATTCACATCCTGACTGCAGGAGATAATCATATTCCCACAGAAGAGATTGAGCGTTTTCAGGAAATATTTGAATAGGGTGATGGTGTCAATGGAGCAGATCCTTTAACCATAATATATCCTATAACTCTATCCATTCTAATCCCCTCATATTATAATACCGGCATCTTCTGAATAGTGAACTAAATTCTTACCAGTCGCAAAGGGTTCTCCAAAGCTTTTAGAACGAGACTGTGTGTGAAGAAAAAAAATAACCCTCAAGCATCAATATTCTGCTGCCGTCTGTCTCCCCATAAGCTGTTTTTTCTATATATTTTACTTATATACTACCGGTCTTTGTACATGTTTGTCATTGTTAAACAGTTCTCACCCATGGCTGAGCTCTCCCCACAGCACCCAGAGCCGCACTGAGCTCTGAGCAGGGACACTTCTCTCTCCAGCATCTCCACCCTGATAGCAAGTTGCTGGATTGTGGTTGTTGCCGTACAACCACATGCAGCCTTCGGGATGTTGATGCGGTGAGTGAATGTTACCTGAAGTAGAACAATTGTTTGGTTAAGAAGTGCATTTTGTCACTTAACGGCATTGCATAAGCTTATTTAATTCACAGTAATGGGATAAGGAGGATTCCGTGAATTATTTTGAGTATCAGACACTTTCCTTTAGTCTGGTAGATTCAAAACGAGGCAGAATAATTAACCAACTTACCATCAGCTTTCATGGTTTAATAACAAAATAATCAAAAATATTTCTAGAAAATAATTCAACCCTTTCCAACAGCAAGATAAAAGGTGGCATCGCTAATTTGAGCAAATCCAATGAAGTCACCAAGAAAAAAAACTCTAAACAATTCAGCCTCACTACACTATGACTGTTTGAAAAATGTCTGTGTTATTCATAAATTGTGAGGCATGTTTTTTTAATGTATAAAGAAACAGTGCTCTCCTTAATACATAATGTCGAAATTTGAAATGTAATCATTTATAATTATTATGCTGAGTGGTTTTTCAACAGCAATCTATCAATATTTTAATAATGTTACTTTTCTATTAATTAAACTGGAGGTTATGTACTAGAATTCACAATGACCACAGCCTTTAAAGTTTACTATGAAATATTTGAAGGTTCTTTTAACAATATGTCCTGCTTGTGTTTTTGCTTTGGGTGATGTGTCTCTTTTAAATAATTCTAGGCAAAGCTACATATCACCGTGAATATCAGTAGGTAAATGATGATGTGTGATAAAACAGATGTTTCCGTTCCTCATGAGACCGTCTGCCTAAATCACTGACAAACAGGCTCTTCACATCTCACTCTGACAGTCATCCAAAACGCTGCATTGCTCTCTTTGCTTTATATTCTAATCAAACCAAAAATCATTGCTAAGATCCGTACCTGGCTGTCAGCATCCATCGTCTGCTCTATGTATTCTGTTGGACCATTGGGAAACATTGGACCCTCCATAGAAGGTCTGGACCCCGACTCAGCATAAGAGCCTTTGAAGCAAAAAGAAAGGTTTTTTTAAAAAGTGTATAAAAATACCGCATGCATGTGTGTGTCTCTATGAGAACAAAAGATGGCTTCAGGACAGAAGATAAGAGAACTACAGTGAGTTTCATCAAACGCCCGATCGATCGGAAGACCTCACCATCACCCGGGGCCGGTGGTGCGTTGGCGTCCACGTCCACAGAGCACAGAGACTCCGAGGGTACGTTGATGTTGTAGACGTGGTTAAATATCACTGGTTGATCCCGCAGGGTCTCGTTGTCTGGGGAGGGGGGCTGATCCCTCCCAGAGGTCTGCCTCCTTACTCTGGTGGTACGAACCAGCTTGTTGTCTCCTGAAGGAGCAGCGTGAGCGGCACCCTGGAGAGAGAGGCAATGTGAAACAAAAACCACCACAGACGGTTTGGACTCGGGGTTTGTTTTTATCCTTTATGTCTTGTGTTTACAGAATATGATGGGACTAAAAAACAAAGAGAACTCCCCATGGGGGGGACACAAAACAATATGACACTGAAACATGTATATCAAGGATTTTCTCACTGACTGCAACAGTGACGATGCCATTTTCAAGTTAAACATGTGGGGCAGAGCTTATGCTTTCCCTCTGTAGGTTACCAAGCACAGGTCATTTCTAACATTAGATGAGGTAACATTTCAAGGGAAATAAAGCCCCGGGCAGACACCATGGGATCAACCAAGGATTGTATTTATGATGACACCTTTTTGAATATCAACGCTACCTGTGCGCAAACCCAATTACTGAACCCAGTATGGCAACTGTAACCAGGCACAGCAGGTCTCTCAAGATTGTGATTCCTCCACATTTTGATGTGTGTGTGCATGGGGCTGTAGTTAGCATAATACTCTACATGTAAAGAGTTTACGAGTTAAATACAAGAGTAAAAGTGTAACACATGTGTAAGTGAGATCCACAGATGTAATTAAATGGGTTAGGCCTCAACCTAAAAGCCTTTAACATACTGTTTGAACATTTTAATACAGGGAACCTTTGCACAAGCTGTACATTCAATCTGTTTTTAAACTTAAATCATAATGACTTTTTCTTTTATAATCTCTATCTATGTTTCTTGACCATGAACCAACACACCTCTTTCAAAACGAGTCAGCTGAAAACATTACAAATTCAGCCAGAAATATAATTTGTATTCATCTCATCAAGCTAATGGTAATAAGCTGACTAGTAAAACATAATTAAACCTACCGGAAGTTATTTCAGCCAACAAAATTGGTGGTAACTGGATAGAAATGTAAAGTCTTCTTTTGTATTAGTGAATAATAAGCTGTCATATTTTGTTCTAGGTTCCTTGTACACATTAAAAAGCCTGATGTGTAGAAGAAAAGTAAAGAAAAACAACACTCAACTCAAAATTGTCTGTTCTCTATAATATGCTAAATAGTCAGTGTGAATTTGTGCCCAGAGTCAAGTGATTAACATGGCTGGCTAAAATAGTAGATTAGAAATCAATAATAAATAAGGGGGTGGAAAAAAAAAAAGCCGTGGGAAGCCTTACTCAGAAAAGTGGACAGGGCGAATTTGTACCTAACCATTTTTACCTGCAGAGCAAGAAACAGAGCCAGAGCCAGGACCCAGCCTGCTGTGGGCACAGTGGCCCTGTGATGCTGCCGAGCCAGAGGCATGCTGGGATTCAATCTCAACACTCCTGTACAGGCACACCTGTGGAGGAATGGAGAGAAGAAGAAAAGTAGGAGGAGAGAAAAAACAGTCAGTAATGTTGTCTTTGTTGAATATGAAATACACACAGAAGTGTAGTGCGCCACCATGGAAACATATCTGTTCATGTGTGTGTTTATTCTGTGTGTGTTTCAGTGCACGTATCAGGAGACCCACTGCAGCTTATCCTTATCCTCTGTCAATGGAAATAAAAGCCTTTGATCTGATGTAAAATAAATGACTTTAGAAGAGAAACTTCTGTTTGGATTGTGGAACTGGCTAAGAACCTTTGAATGTATTTCACTAGGCAATACCAAATATTTGATCTTTCCACTTGGGAGGAATACGGAAATATTGCTCGGGGAGAGAGTTGACAGATGGATTTCAGTAGAGAAATGGTTTGAGTGATGCCGCTGTAATCCCCTCTCCATTGAGTGGGGAAGTGAGAACGCTGAAGTAAAAGCGGCACAGAGGAAAAACTGACGTGGATCCTTCTAGCTGACTGTCACATATCAGCACAGATAAAAGAGTGCCGGGCAGAAGTGTGTCTTTAATGTGGCTATTTGAATGTATTGAGTTTTGCCACTATCAGCTGAATCAAACATCTTACTACAACTGCAGAGAGGGGACAGCTGGTATCTTGAAAATATAAGGACGGGACTGAAAAGCAATTATATCCGTGGTAGGAGTGTGTGTGAGGGTGTGTGAGCGTGTGTGTTGAGTGTAATTTAAAGCACAATTCCCTTGAGTTTTAGTTCCTTTCTCCCTGTGTAAGATGAGCTTGTGTAGTCGATTTTCAAAAGTCTCTTTTATCACAACAATGCATCTAATGGTGGTGAGGTAGGCTGCCGCTCTCAGCTAGCGCCTTTTACAAAAGCCTGATGGAAATGTTCCTATCACACCTAACCGACTGCCTTTTTGTGATCATTTAGGGGTGACATGTTGAAACCTGAGTGTATTTGCACATAAATGAGAAACACAAAGAATCCCAGTGAATATAATATAAAATCCTTTTAAGTTGTTCTCATTGAGGGACAATAAATCGTGTTTTTTAAAGTCATGCATACACAGAGCGCCCCTCTCACACAGACACACTCAGAGATGGCAAAAGTACACAGATCCTTTACTCAAGTAGAGGTACAGATAGTCATGTTTAAAACATATATAAGTGCTGACTAAACTTCTTTACTCAAGTAAAAGAAGTATTGGCTTCGAAATGTACTTAAGTAAAAAATACCCATAACTACCAGCTGTTTTATAAAGTAACTGACCTCCCTTTATATTAATAGAACAATAATGTCATTGTTAGCTAATGAATGTTTTGATGCTGAAAAACGGCAAAGATTACAAAGTTCTCATTGGTCGATCTTCGAAATGGTCGAAATGATGGATACACGGATCATGTGAAAATCAATAGGCAGGCAAAGACTATGAAAAAAATTATGATCCTGCCACCAAACGCAGATTAAAACTAAAGTAACAAGCCTGTTTTAAAAATGTAAGAAGTAGAAAGTAAAGGTATTTTTGTTAAAAATGTAAGAAGTAAAAGTAAAAAGTCATCGTGGAGTAAAGTACTGATACCAAAAAATGTACTTACAGTAAGCCCAGTAACAAAGCATTTGTATTTCACTACTTCCCACCTCTGGACACACTTCACTTTCAAGATCTTTTGCACATACCTGAGAGCATCCTTAATTTCAAGGCAAAGTGGAAAAATCCTCTATGTGCTTGAGGTTCGTTATGTGTGCTGAACAGAAACACTGTTGACACATACAGTATATCATAAAGACCCACAGGGGAAAGATAGCTGGTCATAAGTTGCAATCTACAGCATGCCTCGCTTCCCACAATGCTTTACCCATGACTTTGGCCTTGCTGAAATCGACTCCCGACCAATACCTACTGCTCCACGCTGAAGAGATGGAAAATGTTCTACTTGGAAACCCTCCCCTCAAGCATGCTGCTGTCTGACACGACACAAGCAGTTTAACTGGAGAATTCACCAAACAAATGAGAGGCATGCCGATGATGAAGGTTGTGCGATGGACAAAGCCAACCGGAACCATCTCGTTCACAGCCATTAGCTAAAGCAGTCGCCTTTCTCTTGGCTTCAGTAGACGGCTCGCATGCATTCCTAAAACACGGGATGATGATAAATGGGTCTACATGGTGGATGTTGCACTCACTTCCTGTAACAGGCATAACAGAAAACTAACTCATATAAAACTTATTTTCTATGACACAGAAAGTAAAAATAGATGTGTTATGAGATAAAGGTGGCATGCACCTTTTCATCGCACTATAGACACAAGAGATAAAGGTTTTGCTTTAAGGCAAACTGCTTTTAAACCCATACCAAATATAGACACCATACAGTACATGAACAACACCCTATACACAGCTTTGCATTGATAGTGATGAAAGTTTCAAAGAGTTTCAAAGTCACAGGGTGATATTTTACAGCATTGGGTCATGGTGCAAACTGATGCCCAGAAGCATTTCATCGCACAACGAGGAGAGGTTTTTCATGGAGGCGCAATTAAGGACAGAGCCACTCATTCAGAGTGAAGAGAATCCACATGCTTCAGGCCCTAAAACTGGCTTCATTTATTCACTTGATTTTTTCATCCAGGAGAGAGAGAACACACGCACACAAGCACATTATCTAACACTCAGCACTGATACATACGCCTTCAAATCTACAGTACCGTTACATACGTCATATCCACATATACGCATGGGAAAATACACACAAAACATCACAATGTTATGTGTCGGGTGTTTTTAAAGCCCTTCATTGACTCTGTGTGAAAAGCTCTGAAACAATGCTGTCACTTGATGTACCTGGTGATTTCCTTGAGACAAATTGGATGAGTTCCCCCCCTGTGGGGCTAAAATCAAACTGGCTGTTCCAATTATAATAAAAACCATGGGGAAAGTGTATGAAGCACCACAGAGGGAAAGGCAACATATTCAGCTTATACAATGGAAAAGAGGCCATTGGGCAAAAAAAGCGAAACCCTGAAACGAAACACAAAAACCAGCACGGTTAAAAAAGTGTTATGTAAAAGATAATCACTTTGATCTTATCCGTCTAACTCTCTCACCTCTGTTGGATTACATTTCTCTCTGAGGTGAGCTTTTGATTTTTTTTCTGTATTGAATCCATCACAATATCTTTCTCTTTCATCCATAATGTGGTTAACGGGCAGAGGAGTTGATGACAAAAAGTGTAACTTCACCGATATACCTAATGCAATCTTTGTCATGTGGCATCTTTAGAAAGTATTTTTATCACATGCTGCGCCTATAGATGTTCTGCTGGATATATGGACGGCAAGTGCTACATGTCAAAGAAGTATATCATACTTTTAGAATTAAAACCTATAAAATGAAAAAAATATATGATGTACATGTTGGTTATATTTGTAATCTCAATATAATTAATGTGAAGACTTTGAATTGCTCAATTAGGCTGACAGAAGTTTGACTAACCTCAGGGACGGGAAGAATACGATTATTCAGCAGAGCAGTGCGCTCTTTAGACTAAAACTCATTTTAACAACTCATGAACTTTTGCTGCAGTGAAGTGTTAAGAGAGGTGTCCGTAACGCTAAGGCAATGCAATGCAAATGTAACTTCAGGATTACTGGGATTTGTGGTTGCGGACTACAAATCAAAAGCTCACACTGCGGAGGGTTTTATGCAGCCTTGAGGCTTTATGAGGCATTTCCCATGCTTATAACTCAATCCTTATTTCAAAGGTTGCTTTTTTGTGTAATATATTAGCCTACCTGACCTTTACACTCTGTAAACACTCACATTGGTTAACCTAGCTGGTGGTTGACAGTTTTATATGTTCTTAAAGGTCTCCAATTAATGCTATTTTTAGGCATATATTATGGATCTCAGATATATCAAAAATATATAAAAAACATGTCTATGATGTGTTTTGCTCATAATACCAAACAGATCATGCATTTTAGACTTCCCTCTTATCCCTCTGTTTCAGCCCTGATAGAGAACTGCAGGTTTCGGGTTCTTAGCTTGAAAAAAAAAAAAGAGGAGGGGGAGCTAATGCCTGCTCAGAATTCCACGAGATATAGCTAAATGCTGCCGTGATTAAACGACATATCATGTTTCAAACCACATCAAGGATTATTATTTTTTTATTTCCTGCTTTTTTACACATACTCTTTCCAGTACAGGTTAGCTCTGAGTGTTAGCGATGCTTGCTAATGTAAACAAAGACCAACGTCCAAAACACGTTGGGCAATGTTTCTGATAGCAACGTTTCTGCTTGGGCGTGGGTCCACATTTCCGATATTACGTGATATCGGATGCAAATCTGGATAAGCTCCGTTGTACCCCCGTTTTTAGAGATTTGGGTACGGAGGAAAAGAGAGAGGGTTTTATTTGCTGACACTTTGTGAGTTCCCTGACACACCGGGGACACATATTTATGTATAAAATGATAGGTCCCCTTTAACCTGTTAAGCCCCAAGCCTGTGTTCAGGTCTCAGGCTCGAAAATGACATTCCTAGAACAAATGACTATATCTTCACTTCTAAAAGGGGTAAATTAATAATCTTTTTTCTCAAAGCAATGATAAACCTGTGAGTTGGATGTAGAGAAGTCAGAATCAATATAGATGTTTTTATTTTAAAGTAAATTCAGATTGAATATTGTAAAGAAATGTAAATTATAGTTTCCGTCCAAAAAAAAACATTACTTATAGTGAAAACCACCCTTGAATGATGGGATAGTAGACAAAAAGCTTTAGGAATCCAAAAAATAACATATAATAAGTACCCTGTATCAAGATTGATGCAAAACAAGTGAAATATGACCTTTTTAGAGAGGTTTAGAAGAAAAGAAAAAAAACACCTCTGGGGTCATTTGGGTGGATTTGCCATATCTCTGGAACCCATTGGTCGATTTTGATGATTGACACCACTTTTGAACCGTCAGAGCCAATAGAATCGAGAGGGAGTTCCTAAATC